CCCTTTAACACCTGTGCAGTACGAATGCTTTAATAACTCACCTGTTTAAATCTGAGTTTGCATTATTAGGGGCGTGGCAGCTTGATAACCAGTTCACCAGTGTTACCATCACCTCTGACTCTTTGTGGAGGATCAAGTTCTGCTTCTGAAATGTGTCTGGTGAGACTCGAAGCTCTGTGGACTTTGGAACAAACCTGATCAGGGACAAGCAGATTTCTCCTGGACTCCACCCACTGAAGCACTTAAAACAAGCCAAACTGTAAGAAAACGATGGAGGTTTCAGGCTGCGGCTGAACATCCATCACAGCTTCAGTCTGACTGCAGAGGCTTTCAGGACATCCAGACCTTTGCAGCAGCTGCAGCTGCAGCAGACTAAGATGTTTATACTTCAGTTTTTATTTTATTTTTTTTATTATTTTTATTATTATTATATTTATTATTTTATTTATTGCCACTTTAAAAAAAAGAACTTACATATTCAAACGTTTTTATTTTCAAACAGTTTTAATCAAAAACCGTCGAAACATCTCACAAACAGACTCTTTATGTCAGCGGTCCAAAGCTCCTCCGTCCTCCTGCGACACCGTCACCGGTCAGAGAGGAGAGCCTGTGAGCTCCACTCGGAGCCTCCGTCAGACGGAGCACGGGCGCGCTCAGCTTTGTCTCCATGTGACGAAACACCTGAAACCGTTTAGTCCAGCTTTACTTCCTCAGACTGGCGCCGAGCAGAGCGTCTACGCCACGGCGGGGATAAAGTACTGCAGCGACATGTCTTCATGCAGCAGAATCAGGTGGAGGACGCTCTGATGGACGATGTCTGAGGAGGACGAGAGAGAAATGTGTTACACTGTGACGTGGATTAAACCCCGGTGGGTTTTGAGTATGAACACGTGAGGGGGGGGGACTCACTGCACATGGCCTTGCTGGGGTTGACCTGCTGCCCCACCAGGAACTGCTGCAGCCTCCTGATGTCCACCCTGGCCTCCACCAGGCTCTCCGGGTCCCTGCTCTGAGAC